AATATACTTCATCTTCAAAAGTATCTCAAAATGATCCAATGGATAGATATACAAATTTGGTAAAGATTGGACAAGGTGGAAGTGTGTTTAAAGTGAATGACACTAAATGTAATAATGAAGTCAAAGCAATCAAAGTGGTTAGATTTGATAACCATGAAGATTTGAACGTGACTATGAGAGAAGGAATTCAACTTTTAAAGATGAATCACCCAAATGTTCTCAAAGTGAATGATTTCTTTATTGGAAATGGTCAAATTCTATGTATTGATATGACTTATTATGAGATGGGTGATTTGAATAGACTCATCACTGGATCCAAATTTTGTTCAGAACTGTTAATTGCTCAAATATTATTTCAATCTTGCAGTGCCTTGGATTATATTTTCATCAACTTTGGGTAAGTTTAGAAACATATTAAAATATGTGGATTTAACACTAAATCAGAGTTATTCACAGAGATATTAAACCTTCCAATATTTTCATTCAGAAAATGAATGATTCAGCCATTGACATTATCATTGCTGATTTTGGTTTGGCAAAAAACTCAAAACAATCAACCAGTTTTTCATTAGCTGGAACTCCATTGTATATTTCACCAGAATTGTTGTGTGGAATTTCATGTGATCATAAAACTGATATATTCAGTTTGGGAGTTACTCTATACCAGATTCTATCTCATGATACAACAACTTCCATCAATCAAATGTACATGTTAAAGGATTCTGAAACTGTCAAACAAATATTAAAGGAGAAGATTAGTTTACAGATCTATTCATTAGAGTTGGTGGAGTTGGTGTTTAGCATGTTGGAGAAGGATCCAGAAAGACGACCAGATGCTGGTTCTATTTTAAAACATCACTACTTTTCACAAAGAGGGTTGAATAACAATTAAACTTTTCATCTCAATTCTATATCGTTCATTTTGTAATATTGTTTTAATAAGTAACTTGAGGTATTAAGGTTTGCACCTGACAGTGTTTTTCGGATAAAATGGTTATCAATTTTAAAAACAATAAGGTAAATGCAAACTTTGTGACAATCCCATTTACTGAAAATGAAATACTTTTAAGTTGACCACCATTATTTACAAATTTTGAAAAAAGGACTTCCATTAGAAACGCATCTACTGCATAGCTTTCCATAGCAATCAGCATCAGAGTTACACATAGTTAGACCTCCACAATTACATACAGCCATGTTACAATGGTTATTATTACAATTATCGGCTGGGCACAATAGTTTAGGATTATTGTAACAGTCACAGGACAATACACGGCAGAGACCTGAAGGCAATAATCCTTCGAAATGATTGCTTCCTAAATGGATTCCAGTTAGTGAGGGTATTTCACCATACTCTTTTGGAATTTGACCTCCAATTGCATTGAATGCCAAATTAATAATCATGACACTTTGTAAAGAATCAGCAATTCCAGTTGGCAAGACACCTGTCAAGTTATTTCTTGCCAAATTCAAAGACAAGACATTGTATTGATTTCCGATACATTTGACACCATACCAAGAGCAAAAGTTTGTCTCTTTACCAGTATCCATAGTATTCCAACCAGTATTATTTCTCCAATAATGACCTCCAGTTGACAAGTAAAATTTACGTAAGAAATCTCTTTCGGATAGACCTTCACTGTCACTTTCAGCAAAGAACTCGAGTTGTTCTTTGAGTCTGTCAATTCTCCTTTGAAATTTTTCCAAATCTCTCTTGTAACCAATATTACGATCACGAAGAAGAGAAGATGATAGTTTGTTACTTCTTCCTTCTGCGCTCCGAGCAGAAACTATTACCACCATCAAAAACAGAACGAAAAGAGCAAGGACAGGGGCTTTCATTTTTTTTGATTAATAATTCCTGAAACAAACTCCGCCCTGGTATACCACCAATTGTTATGAATGCTATCTTTTGGGAATAGGAAATATCAACCAATGAAGAACAACTTTGTTATGATACAAGCACCAGATTGTTGACCATATTTTTTTATTTTGACCAATTAATGTTTGGCGCCCAAAATTTCCCGCCTCAAATCTACATTTTTAAATTTAAAAAAAATGTTTTCTCCAGCTAGTGAATATGTTGCCCCTGCAGTGCAAAATTGGCAACCACTGTTGGTGGAAGAAGATGATGAAATGTAAGTAGTAAGGGTTTTTGATAGTATTCTTATAAATGACTAACAGTCTTGTTGAACCAGTTAGAAAACCAAACCTTTGTTCTGT